AGATTTGCCTAACTGTGGAGAGGAGTCGAAATTATGGGAGTTAATCTTACTATGACACAATGGTGCCCATCTTCACTGTATACCGGAGCCATAGGGAACGCTACATGGATCTCTCTGCAATCTTTGATATAGCAGTCACTACACCTGCTATCATCTCGGGTGACTTCAACGCTCATAGTGAACACCTTTTGGCTGAAGTGCCTGAAGTCAGTCTACTTAACTGGAGGGAACCCACCCCTCACTGGGGGGAGGGGAGGGGGAGGGGGGGGGACATCACAGATGTCTCCACCAGTATTTATGAGTTGTCAGTTGTCCACGTGCTGACCAATGACAACTTTGCTACAACAACAGTTACTAGTATAGCACTATACCACCCAGAGCTCCAGCTCCCGGGCCCGGATGGGACTTTATCAAAGCAGATTGGACGAAGATTCATGAATCTCTGGAAACTTGGCACCAAAACTACACTCCTTCTGTTGACTCTCAAGAAATGGAAAAAAATTTAGTAAATGTACACAGAGCAGCAAATCCCGCCATGCCCAAGAGGAATACAATTACCCAATAACATAAGGACCATTGGTCCTTATGATTGGATCAAAGAGCTACATAAGTCTAAATTGTGCACGAAACTGCGGAATATTTTCCACAACGAAACCTATACATCATTTCTCAACCATGAAGGCTTGATTTGCATTTATTAAGCAGTTTACGAGGCTGTCCACAGCAATAATAATCTTGTGTGTCGCAAACGACATCCCAGGATTTCCAGGCTCGTAAGATATTCATATATAGTTTAGTGGTCCAGGAAAGATGTAATGGTTCCGTGACCGTCACGTAAATGCCTGGTTAATCCTGGGGGTTATGAGGGTTATAACCCTGTTCGACCCCCGCCAGGGGTTCCATTCCATGTCCCCCAGAAAGGAATATAAGGATCAACGTGACTCAGAATACAGGTCCTCCTACGACCTGTTTGATGGCATTTTGTAAATCATATTTAACGAGTTAGAGTTAACCTATTTCACTGTTTGTATTCGTTTATTATGCACCCCATACCCATGCTGTGGGTGGTAGTGGACCCCATACCCTTGCTGTGGGAGGTAGTGGACCCCATACCCTTGCTGTGGGTGGTAGTGGACCCCATACCCATGCTGTGGGTGGTAGTGGACCCCATACCCTTGCTGTGGGAGGTAGTGGACCCCATACCCTTGCTGTGGGAGGTAGTGGACCCCATACCCTTGCTGTGGGTGGTACTGGACCCCATACCCTTGCTGTGGGAGGTAGTGGACCCCATACCCTTGCTGTGGGTGGTAGTGGACCCCATACCCTTGCTGTGGGTGGTAGTGGACCCCATACCCTTGCTGTGGGAGGTAGTGGACCCCATACCCTTGCTGTGGGTGGTACTGGACCCCATACCCTTGCTGTGGGTGGTACTGGACCCCATACCCTTGCTGTGGGAGGTAGTGGACCCCATACCCTTGCTGTGGGTGGTAGTGGACCCCATACCCTTGCTGTGGGAGGTAGTGGACCCCATACCCTTGCTGTGGGAGGTAGTGGACCCCATACCCTTGCTGTGGGTGGTACTGGACCCCATACCCTTGCTGTGGGTGGTACTGGACCCCATACCCTTGCTGTGGGTGGTACTGGACCCCATACCCTTGCTGTGGGTGGTACTGGACCCCATACCCTTGCTGTGGATGGTAGTGGACCCCATACCCTTGCTGTGGGTGGTAGTGGACCCCATACCCTTGCTGTGGGTGGTAGTGGACCCCATACCCTTGCTGTGGGTGGTAGTGGACCCCATACCCTTGCTGTGGGAGGTAGTGGACCCCATACCCTTGCTGTGGGTGGTAGTGGACCCCATACCCTTGCTGTGGGTGGTACTGGACCCCATACCCTTGCTGTGGGTGGTACTGGACCCCATGCCCTTGCTGTGGGTGGTAGTGGACCCCATACCCTTGCTGTGGGTGGTACTGGACCCCATACCCTTGCTGTGGGTGGTACTGGACCCCATACCCTTGCTGTGGATGGTAGTGGACCCCATACCCTTGCTGTGGGTGGTAGTGGATCCCATACCCTTGCTGTGGGTGGTAGTGGATCCCATACCCTTGCTGTGGGTGGTAGTGGACCCCATACCCTTGCTGTGGGTGGTAGTGGACCCCATACCCATGGTGTGGATGGTAGTGGACCCCATACCCTTGTTGTGGGTGGTACTGGACCCCATACCCTTGCTGTGGGTGGTACTGGACCCCATGCCCTTGCTGTGGATGGTACTGGACCCCATACCCTTGCTGTGGATGGTAGTGGACCCCATACCCTTGCTGTGGGTGGTAGTGGACCCCATACCCTTGCTGTGGGTGGTAGTGGACCCCATACCCTTGCTGTGGGTGGTAGTGGACCCCATACCCATGGTGTGGGTGGTAGTGGACCCCATACCCATGGTGTGGGTGGTAGTGGACCCCATACCCATGGTGTGGGTGGTAGTGGACCCCATACCCATGGTGTGGGTGGTAGTGGACCCCATACCCTTGCTGTGGGTGGTAGTGGACCCCATACCCTTGCTGTGGGTGGTAGTGGACCCCATACCCTTGCTGTGGGTGGTAGTGGACCCCATACCCTTGCTGTGGGTGGTAGTGGACCCCATACCCTTGCTGTGGATGGTAGTGGACCCCATACCCTTGCTGTGGGTGGTAGTGGACCCCATACCCTTGCTGTGGGTGGTAGTGGACCCCATACCCATGGTGTGGGTGGTAGTGGACCCCATACCCTTGCTGTGGGTGGTAGTGGACCCCATACCCATGGTGTGGGTGGTAGTAGACCCCATACCCTTGCTGTGGGTGGTAGTGGACCCCATACCCATGGTGTGTGTGGTAGTGGACCCCATACCCTTGCTGTGGGTGGTAGTGGACCCCATACCCTTGCTGTGGGTGGTAGTGGACCCCATACCCTTGCTGTGGGTGGTAGTGGACCCCATACCCTTGCTGTGGGTGGTAGTGGACCCCATACCCTTGCTGTGGGTGGTAGTGGACCCCATACCCTTGCTGTGGGTGGTAGTTTTTTTTTTTTTTTTTTTTTTCTACCACAGACGTGGCCACACATTTACAATGCTAACCATCATATATACATTTTCTTCTGTCCACCATGGACAGGGTTAGAGAAGTGTTAAACATATAGTTCAAGGGTTTATTGAACACTCAACCACAGAAGGTGATTCGGTGCTTTTAAAATGCTAAGCTAACCTACATACGTAAATACATAGATACAGATTTACGTATGCCCTACATAAAGTGTTAGATGTGTCTTTTACATAGTGTCATTAATGTACATTCACAAAGGTGAAATGTAATTCTGATCACCTTCCATATATACTTTGTACCCATACATATACATACACACACATATACATACATATATACACACACACACATGCATTCACATACATTTGTCTCATTTACTCTGACAGGGTGAGGTAGCTGATAAAGAAACTAGTGTACAATTAAGCACTTAATCACTGAAGGTGATGAAGGTGCTTTTACAAGCTCAGGTTATAAAGTTACATCATATATATACTTTGTATGATTGATATATTACATGGTCAATCTTGGATACAAGTCTAATATATCAAGTGTTCCAGTACTCATATAGTAACTACACAGTTCAGCATACCTTAGCCCAGGACGGCGAAAGTCGGTCAATATGGGACATTCTACAATATAATGTTCAAGGGAGTGCATGTTTTCTCTTTCACAAAGTTGACACATTGTGTACTCGACATTTGGGTTTTGAGAAAGCTGCCAGATACGTCTATATCCCAGGCGTATTCTGGCCACTATAACATCACATTGCCGGGTTCTTGTTCTATTAGTCCCATATGTGAATGTCTCCTCGCGATATCTATCATAATATTTAATGCTACAACTTTCAGGTCTTTGTGTTAGGTCGGTGAGATCTTCATTAGATATTTGTTTAAGTATTCTCTTTGTTACTGCTAATGAAACACCCATATCAATTTCTACCACTGGTTTTCTGCAGGCTGTCTTAGCAAGCATATCAACAGTGTCATGCCTTGAGATGCCAATATGTGATAGTATCCATAGGAATTTAATCTCAAATCTGTTTTCTTTGGCAGCTAAAACATTCATTCGAATATCACTGACAATTTTCTGGGTGTCACTACTATGTGCGTTCAATGCCAGGAGTGCACTCTGCGAGTCACAGTATACAAGTCCACTGCCTTTGTCTTTTAAAAATTCAGTGGCAAGATATATGCCTGCAAGTTCGGTTTGAGTTGTACTTGCCCAGTAATTGACGCGCTTCATTGCTGTATGTGCGAGAGAAGATTGTTCAAATATGTTACATGCACATCCGGTACATCGTCCACCTTCTTCTACAGAGCCGTCGGTATAGCACTGATAAACATCGTTACCCATACTCTGAGTACTTTCAGTGATGCTTTTCAGTGTTAACTGTTTTAATAATGTAGTGTGCACACTAACTTTCTTGGGCGCATTTACAAAATCAACTGATAGATCCCAGTTATCCCATGGAGTAATTGGCTGATTAATCATTAGTTGAGTACATATTTAATATTTTGATGGAGTTGGCTACCTTGTAGAACCAATATACATAATCAGATTTCGTTCTTCTTCTATAGACCTCAGGTGAGTGCAGCATATTAGAAAGTTTAGGACCCCATACCCATGCTGTGGGTGGTAGTGGACCCCATACCCATGCTGTGGATGGTAGTGTGGGGTCAGGGGTCTGAGCCACACCATGCTAGACGTTATCGAGTGTGTACTTACCTAGTTATGCTTGCGGGGGTTGAGCTCTGGCTCTTTGGTCCCGCCTTTCAAATGTCAGTCAACAGGTGTACAGGTTCCTGAGCCTTTTGGGCTCTATCATATCTACACTTGAAACTGTGTATGGAGTCAGCCTCCACCACATCACTGCCTAATACATTCCATTATGTGTGTGTGTGTGTACTCACCTAGTTGTGTGTGTGTACTCACCTAGTTGCGTGTGTGTGTGTTTGGGCTACTTTGTCATATTTATTAATTGTATGTTTCCCTCCTTCCCACCTTATATCCCACACCTTCCCTCTCACTCTTCCGTTCCTTCCATCCTTTCCTCTTGCTCACACCTTTCTACCTATCGTTCCCTCACTCCCTCCCTCCCTCCCTCCCTCCCTCCCTCCCTCCCTCCCTCCCTCCCTCCCTCCTCATCCTATCCCATCCCGCCTGTCCTTGGTCACGGACGCTCAGGTACGGACGGCAGTGAGGAAGTACGTGTACAACTACTGGCTCCACCGCAGCGCCGGGGTTCGAAGGGGGTCGGGCCTGTCCTCCGTGTTTCTGACCATCGTCACGGACCTCCCCAGAGACCACCAGCACCATGGGGGCAGACACCATCTGTGTGGCTGTCTGAGTGGCGGCCACAGTCCCCCCCAGGGGTGAGTACCTTCCGCTTGTTGCTGGGCACAGTAGATGGTCCCTCTCCTGCTGGGTACAGGGGTAGATGGTCCCTCTCCTGCTGGGTACAGGGGTAGATGGTCCCACTCCTGCTGGGTACAGGGGTAGATGGTCCCTCTCCTGCTATGTACAGTAGATGGTCCAACTCCTGCTGGGTACAGGGGTAGATGGTCCCACTCCTGCTGGGTAGTGGGGTAGATGGTCTCACTCCTGCTGGGTACATGAGTAGATGGTCCCACTCCTGCTGGGTACAGGGGTAGATGGTCCCACTCCTGCTGGGTACAGGGGTAGATGGTCCCACTCCTGCTGGGTACAGGGGTAGATGGTCCCACTCCTGCTGGGTACAGGGGTAGATGGTCCCACTCCTGCTGGGTACAGGGGTAGATGGTCCCACTCCTGCTGGGTACAGGGGTAGATGGTCCCACTCCTGCTGGGTAGAGGGGTAGATGATCCATCTCCTGCTGGATAGAGGGGTAGATGGTCCCACTCCTGCTGGGTAGAGGGGTAGATGATCCATCTCCTGCTGGGTAGAGGGGTAGATGGTCCCACTCCTGCTGGGTAGTGGGGTAGATGGTCCCACTCCTGCTGGGTACAGTAGATGGTCCCACTCCTGCTGGGTTCAGGGGTAGATGGTCCCACTCCTGCTGGGTACAGGGGTAGATGGTCCCACTCCTGCTGGGTACAGGGGTAGATGGTCCCACTCCTGCTGGGTACAGGGGCAGATGGTCCCACTCCTGCTGGGTACAGGGGTAGATGGTCCCACTCCTGCTGGGTACAGGGGTAGATGGTCCCACTCCTGCTGGGTACAGGGGTAGATGGTCCCACTCCTGCTGGGTACAGGGGTAGATGGTCCCACTCCTGCTGGGTACAGGGGTAGATGGTCCCACTCCTGCTGGGTACAGGGGTAGATGGTCCCACTCCTGCTGGGTACAGGGGTAGATGGTCCCACTCCTGCTGGGTACAGGGGTAGATGGTCCCACTCCTGCTGGGTACAGGGGTAGATGGTCCCACTCCTGCTGGGTACAGGGGTAGATGGTCCCACTCCTGCTGGGTACAGGGGTAGATGGTCCCACTCCTGCTGGGTACAGGGGTAGATGGTCCCACTCCTGCTGGGTACAGGGGTAGATGGTCCCACTCCTGCTGGGTAGAGGGGTAGATGATCCATCTCCTGCTGGATAGAGGGGTAGATGGTCCCACCCCTGCTGGGTAGAGGGGTAGATGATCCATCTCCTGCTGGGTAGAGGGGTAGATGGTCCCACTCCTGCTGGGTAGTGGGGTAGATTGTCCCACTCCTGCTGGGTACAGTAGATGGTCCCACTCCTGCTGGGTTCAGGGGTAGATGGTCCCACTCCTGCTGGGTACATGGGTAGATGGTCCCACTCCTGCTGGGTACATGGGTAGATGGTCCCACTCCTGCTGGGTACAGGGGTAGATGGTCCCACTCCTGCTGGGTACAGGGGTAGATGGTCCCACTCCTGCTGGGTACAGGGGTAGATGGTCCCACTCCTGCTGGGTACAGGGGTAGATGGTCCCACTCCTGCTGGGTACAGGGGTAGATGGTCCCACTCCTGCTGGGTAGTGGGGTAGATGGTCCCACTCCTGCTGGGTACAGGGGTAGATGGTCCCACTCCTGCTGGGTACAGGGGTAGATGGTCCCACTCCTGCTGGGTAGAGGGGTAGATGATCCATCTCCTGCTGGGTAGAGGGGTAGATGGTCCCACTCCTGCTGGGTACAGGGGTAGATGATCCATCTCCTGCTGGGTAGAGGGGTAGATGGTCCCACTCCTCCTGGGTAGTGGGGTAGATGGTCCCACTCCTGCTGGGTACAGGGGTAGATGGTCCCTCTCCTGCTGGGTACAGGGGTAGATGGTCCCACTCCTGCTGGGTACAGGGGTAGATGGTCCCTCTCCTGCTGGGTACAGGGGTAGATGGTCCCACTCCTGCTGGGTAGTGGGGTAGATGGTCCCTCTCCTGCTGGGTAGTGGGGTAGATGGTCCCACTCCTGCTGGGTAGTGGGGTAGATGGTCCCACTCCTGCTGGGTAGTGGGGTAGATGGTCCCACTCCTGCTGGGTACAGGGGTAGATGGTCCCTCTCCTGCTGGGTACAGGGGTAGATGGTCCCACTCCTGCTGGGTACAGGGGTAGATGGTCCCACTCCTGCTGGGTACAGGGGTAGATGGTCCCACTCCTGCTGGGTACAGGGGTAGATGGTCCCACTCCTGCTGGGTACAGGGGTAGATGGTCCCACTCCTGCTGGGTACAGGGGTAGATGGTCCCACTCCTGCTGGGTACAGGGGTAGATGGTCCCACTCCTGCTGGGTACAGGGGTAGATGGTCCCACTCCTGCTGGGTACAGGGGTAGATGGTCCCTCTCCTGCTGGGTACAGTAGATGGTTCAACTCCTGCTGGGTACAGGGGTAGATGGTCCCACTCCTGCTGGGTAGTGGGGTAGATGGTCTCACTCCTGCTGGGTACATGAGTAGATGGTCCCACTCCTGCTGGGTACAGGGGTAGATGGTCCCACTCCTGCTGGGTACAGGGGTAGATGGTCCCACTCCTGCTAGGTACAGGGGTAGATGGTACCACTCCTGCTGGGTACAGGGGTAGATGGTCCCACTCCTGCTGGGTACAGGGGTAGATGGTCCCACTCCTGCTGGGTACAGGGGTAGATGGTCCCACTCCTGCTGGGTACAGGGGTAGATGGTCCCACTCCTGCTGGGTACAGAGGTAGATGGTCCCACTCCTGCTGGGTACAGGGGTAGATGGTCCCACTCCTGCTGGGTACAGGGGTAGATGGTCCCACTCCTGCTGGGTACAGGGGTAGATGGTCCCACTCCTGCTGGGTACAGGGGTAGATGGTCCCACTCCTGCTGGGTACAGGGGTAGATGGTCCCACTCCTGCTGGGTACAGGGGTAGATGGTCCCACTCCTGCTGGGTACAGGGGTAGATGGTCCCACTCCTGCTGGGTAGAGGGGTAGATGATCCATCTCCTGCTGGATAGAGGGGTAGATGGTCCCACTCCTGCTGGGTAGAGGGGTAGATGATCCATCTCCTGCTGGGTAGAGGGGTAGATGGTCCCACTCCTGCTGGGTAGTGGGGTAGATGGTCCCACTCCTGCTGGGTACAGTAGATGGTCCCACTCCTGCTGGGTACAGGGGTAGATGGTCCCACTCCTGCTGGGTACAGGGGTAGATGGTCCCACTCCTGCTGGGTACAGGGGTAGATGGTCCCACTCCTGCTGGGTAGTGGGGTAGATGGTCCCACTCCTGCTGGGTACAGGGGTAGATGGTCCCACTCCTGCTGGGTACAGGGGTAGATGGTCCCACTCCTGCTGGGTACAGGGGTAGATGGTACCACTCCTGCTGGGTAGAGGGGTAGATGATCCATCTCCTGCTGGGTAGAGGGGTAGATGGTCCCACTCCTGCTGGGTAGTGGGGTAGATGGTCCCACTCCTGCTGGGTACAGTAGATGGTCCCACTCCTGCTGGGTTCAGGGGTAGACGGTCCCACTCCTGCTGGGTACAGGGGTAGATGGTCCCACTCCTGCTGGGTAGTGGGGTAGATGGTCCCACTCCTGCTGGGTACGGGGGTAGATGGTCCCTCTCCTGCTGGGTACAGGGGTAGATGGTCCCACTCCTGCTGGGTACAGGGGTAGATGGTCCCTCTCCTGCTGGGTACAGGGGTAGATGGTCCCACTCCTGCTGGGTAGTGGGGTAGATGGTCCCTCTCCTGCTGGGTAGTGGGGTAGATGGTCCCACTCCTGCTGGGTAGTGGGGTAGATGGTCCCACTCCTGCTGGGTAGTGGGGTAGATGGTCCCACTCCTGCTGGGTACAGGGGTAGATGGTCCCTCTCCTGCTGGGTACAGGGGTAGATGGTCCCACTCCTGCTGGGTACAGGGGTAGATGGTCCCTCTCCTGCTGGGTAGATGGTCCCACTCCTGCTGGGTACAGGGGTAGATGGTCCCACTCCTGCTGGGTAGTGGGGTAGATGGTCCCTCTCCTGCTGGGTAGTGGGGTAGATGGTCCCACTCCTGCTGGGTAGTGGGGTAGATGGTCCCACTCCTGCTGGGTAGTGGGGTAGATGGTCCCACTCCTGCTGGGTACAGGGGTAGATGGTCCCTCTCCTGCTGGGTACAGGGGTAGATGGTCCCTCTCCTGCTGGGTACAGGGGTAGATGGTCCCACTCCTGCTGGGTACAGGGGTAGATGGTCCCTCTCCTGCTGGGTACAGGGGTAGATGGTCTCACTACTGCTGGGTACAGGGGTAGATGGTCCCACTACTGCTGGGTACAGGGGTAGATGGTCCCACTACTGCTGGGTACAGGGGTAGATGGTCCCACTCCTGCTGGGTACAGGGGTAGATGGTCCCACTACTGCTGGGTACAGGGGTAGATGGTCCCACTCCTGCTGGGTACAGGGGTAGATGGTCCCACTCCTGCTGGGTACAGGGGTAGATGGTCCCACTACTGCTGGGTACAGGGGTAGATGGTCCCACTCCTGCTGGGTACAGGGGTAGATGGTCCCACTCCTGCTGGG